GGGCTAACAAATTCAGACACAAATATGTTTCCCATTTGTGACACAATATACCAAAAGGCGGTTCAAATGGAAATGGCTGTCCTTCCCATCGCCAGACCTACTCTCGACTCTGACCATACATTTAGCGAATTAGAAGGCAATCGATTCACGGAATTACTATTTGCCACAAAATGCATGAAAAATGAATTGAAAACTATATACACATCGGAGGTGTTCTCAGTCGACGACTTTTTCGTGACATTAGACCTGAAGTGCGAACAAGAAGTGCGCAAATTAATCAAATCGTGTAAATCGTTGATATGTTTCAACGAGATATGTGAGCAGGACCGTAACACTCTCATCAAATCACAATGCGTTCAGATTTATAAACTCAGATCAGTTGCATATTTTGATGAATTCAATGAGTGCTGGAATATTGAGCTGGTACATTGACATTTTTATATTTTTCCTCTATCTGTATGATCATTTAAATAATATAATACATCTAAAATCTACTTTAACTTTCATTGTTTTTTCAGCTTTTCAATAAATATATTTCATATGTATTAATATTTGAATTATCGCCGCAGATTTATATTACAGTATATTTTCGTGCATTTAAAACTAATTACTTTTTATTTGATAATAGGACGAAAACAATATAATTAAAGTTAGCCCGAACGTAATGCAAAAGAAAGGAGGTTTTTACCTGGAACTTATTGAATATTTTAAGCAATTAAAATTCGAAATAGACCTTGATCAACAAATATTGGATCTGGTAAATATCATTTTAAAACATATGTTAAATCTCAATTAATTGTATTCATTTTCAAATAAATAAAAATTATTACTAAATAAAAGTAAATCCCCTCTATATCCTGTTAGAAATCCTATTACAGATAATACACTAAAATACAGTAGACAAGTGATAATTAATTTTATTTTCTTGATATTAATATTGTTCAAGACTAACAAATTATAATAAATAATTCCTATTAGAAACATTATACTTAAAATATATATTGATCAAATAAAAAATAATATAATTATAACACTAAAAGTATTGTATAATAATATCTAAAATGTTTATATTATTCCACAGATGACAGCAATAATTCTGTTTAACCCTGATATCAATGTTCTAATAGACCGAGAGGCTATCAGGTAATTATCAATCTAATGATAATAATACAAAATATTTTTAATTATATTTTTAACTTACTAGTAATTAATTTAATTTTAACATGTACTGACCAGGATGGAGCAAAACAATTACATGCATTTACTGAAACGTTATCTACAAATCAAGTTCAGCTCTATATGCGAGTCAAACGGAAAGTTTTTGAGACTTTTAAATAGTTTACTGTTTTTGGGCGCTTTTGACAAAAGGATACGACGATCACAAACTGACAGACCTCGTAATCGGATCCCAGATCTCATACAAGAGATTCTGGACCTGGCTAATAATTGTCATTATAATAGCACTAGTGAGACCGAATATTCCATCACTATTCTTCAATAATATTTACATTTCATTAGTTTTCAATATCAGTCTATCATTATGATACACTTATTTATATTAAAAATATATTAATTTAATTTGGTTATTCAAATATATGAACAACATTATCATTATTGTTGAATATTCTGTAATAATACTATTACTTTAAAATATTACGGTATTAAAAATGTTATCGTAAACGTGAATTATGATTAATAATTCTTGAATGATTTGATTCTACATTACTTATAGGTAAGGGTGCCAGGGTGAAATGTTTCATAAAAAAATTAAAGAATTAATATATATTACTGAATTATTTAACCTGATACTAAATTTCAATAAATTTGCCCAGCACGTAACCCATTCAGAGGGAAAATGTGGGAATATATTAGTTTGAAAAGTCAAATTCTTAGGAAATTGTTATTTTTTAATTTTGATTATATTTAAAGTAATATTTAAATTGTAGTTAATGGATTCGATTTTAAAAGGAATTCTTGAATTTAATCATTTTATTTTGAATTTTAATTACATTTATAAGATAAGTAATTTTAATCTAAAAATTAAATATTTAACCCAAAACCAAATATTTCGCTGAAATCTTTTACAGTATACAGTGCCATGCAGTAGAGAGTGGATGCCTTTAACAATATATTTGTGTAAGCCTAAAACAATTTAAAGGTTTTTGCTATGTAGCGTTTACTGTATATGAAATATTTATTAAACTT